AGTCCCTCCCCTGCCCCGCAGCCTCTGGGGCCGCCGGCACCTCCCCTGCTGCCTTGCACCTCTGAGCCTTAGTTGGGGTTCGTCTCCCGGCTGCTGCTTTGCTCTCGGCCTAGCTCCCGCTCTTTATCTGCTGTGGAGGAGGAGGAGGAGGATGAGGAGGAGGAGGACGAGGAGCTGAGGGTCCGGCCTGAATGCTTGTAGGCTGCAACGAGCTCCTGCAGCCGCTCTGGTGTGGGCTCCCACTTGGCAAAGCCCGCGCTGTTCTGCAGGAAGAGGACGGCCGTATTGTGCACAGCCTTGTAGTACATCTCCTCCCTGCAAGGGAAGACAAGAGGCTCTGAGCACCTCCCGGGCCCAGGGGGGACACAACCACCACACAGACCCTCTCCTACCACGTGCCATGTTTAAGACAAATACTCGTTCCTGCCCTTTTTCCCTTATCGTTCTGACATGAGCAAGCAGAGGACAGCAACAGGCCCTTCGGAGGAAAGGCAGAGGCTTAAGAGCTCTCAGAGATGCTGCACAGCCATCACTCCACCAGCACCTGCAGTGAGACACCGCTGTCCCTGGAGAGGGAGACACTGTGGCAAGGCAGCTGCCTTCACCAGGTACTGAGAGCTCAAGTGTTCAAGCACTTGTTGCCTAAACAAGCTGCTGCTTGAACTTGTGGCTCAGACAGCTGACCAAGGGCCAACTTACTCCACTGACCAGGACTCTTCCTACCCCTTGTTTCTGCTTCCCCAAGTGACACCGTTACTGAAACACCTCAGTGTTGAACAAGAAACTCACAGTACTCTTTATGCCTGCCTTAAAAACCCAGAGTGATCATGTGCAGTAGCTTTCCTTGCCTGCTCCCTATTTCCTATTGATTTCAATTCAGGATAGGACATTTCTGTCATATGGCTTCAGAAACACGATCCCAGAAGGACCTGAGATGAAGACCTACTTTTTGCAGATGTGCTGGGAGCCGCTGCGGTACTCGTGGTCAAAGGCTGGCAGGATGAGCTGGTGCCGCTTGAACTTGCTCTGCTCCATGCGGGTCAGGGCTGGTGTGGGAGGGTCCCGCCACTCAGGGATGAAGACGATGAAGGAGAGAGGCTCACTGGAGCTCTCCAGCAGTTTCTAGTTGAACAAGAAAACCAGCAATCTCAGTGCTGGCTGAGCAGTGACATGTGCCACTGCAGTCACCATCCTTCAGCTGCCACACCTGGCCCTGGGCCAGCAGGAGGAACGGCTGCACGGCTCCATCCAGAGCAGCACACAGGTGAGCCAACGTACCTCGAAGTGAGAGACCATGGCATCCATCAGCTCCTCACAGAATGGAGGGTTTGCCTCAAAAGAGCCGCTTATAGGGAAGAAATCCAGGCATGGGCTGGAGGAAAAAGACAAAGATCCCTATCAGAGAGGCTGGAATTCTAATTTTCACACCTTCAAAAGCATTAGTTTCCTCAGAAAAGGCAATCATGCTCTCAGAAAGCCTAACTCCCCACACTGAAGGGCAAATCCCCCTCAGAACAGGGTCTGCCACTTCTACCAGCAGGGCTGGTCTCTGGGGACACTCTACCTGCAGTCACTAATGGTGACAGATCGAGACCCAGGCCTCCCACTCCTCAGAACAAGAGCAGGCACTGGCAGACTTAGAAAGGGTATCACTGCAGGGATCAGAGTCCCCTGAACAGACTGCTAGCATGCTCCTGGCAGCTCCACAGCCAATCTGTGCCCACCCACTGCCTTCAGGCAGGCCTGAAGCACACATCCCTCTGAGCAGATATCACGCAACCACTTCCTTCCCTGAAGCCAGGGGGCCTGTCCTGAGTCATGGCACGTGCACCCCCCCCAGAGAAACACCAAAGGGCACCGGGACACAGGACTTACCCCCTGGATCCAAAATACCCGTCTGTATCCAAAAAGGCTGAACAGTACTGCTTAAAATAGCAATTCAGGGGCGAGGCAAAGCATTCAAAGCTCACTCCAAAGAGCTTGTGGAGGGCTTCAAAGACATGCACGGGAAGTGCACCCTGCAGACCAGTCCCTTCATACAGACCCACGCCGAACATCATCTGAAGAAAGCAAACCTGGTGAGCTGTGCCTGCACCCACTGCTCACTGACCACAGACCCTGGCCACACCTCCATGCCCCCACTCTTCTAGGTATGCAGGGCCCCCTTGTCCTTTCTCAAATTCATGTTGGTCCCCTGTATGTACCCAAGAATGCTCTTTAGAGATTTCATCCCACTCAGGCCCCAAAAACCATCCATTCTCACATGTATCTCACATGAACCGTCAGCTGGCTCTCAGAGTCAAGAAATAAGGTTTCTCTTTTGAAAATGTATCTTTACCCACCCTGAGGTCTCCTAAGATCCCCATTGCTCCCCAGACCACAGGCCTATCACAGAACACAATGAGCAGACAAGTGACACAGTTTAAGCCCTATATTGCACCAGGCTTCCAGTGCTGTGGACCTCCCACAAATGAAGGCCACAAGTTCAGCTCCCCAATATCACTACAGCTTTCTGATGTGTAACTGTGACAAGACCTTACCTGGTATCGACGGAGAAGGCACCAAACCCTGGGCAGAAACTTCTCAAAGCCAGAGTCATCAATGCAGCTGTACCGATAGAGAAGCCACTGGAAGGGAAAGGCCAGCCATTAAACACACAGGTAAGACAGCGCGCCAACGTATGGTGACAGAGAGGGACAGATGAACAGGAGCAGGTGGGGCTCTGTGTGGAGGCTGTCATGGCACCATGAGAGCGAACCACCAGCTCTTCACTAGCAGGGATGAACGAGCACAGTGGGTGTTTCAGCATGGGCAGCCTTGCTGCAAGTGCAACCATTCCTGCAACACAGCACGTGTCCAAAGCACTCACACGCAGCAGAAGCCTGACCCTAAGGTGGAAGCAGCTGTCCTCATTTCTGCTGCTATTGGGGCAGTCTGACAGTCTCTGCCAGGCCAGCCCTCCGTCCCTGCTGCCAGATGACATGCAGAAGCAAACCCTGTCCCCAGAGAGGCGGCTGTGGGTGCGGGCAGCCCTTACCAGCTTGCTGAAGTAGTTGCGGCTCACTTTGACCATCTCCCCCTTGTACCGCACACACGCCACGTTGTTCTCCATGTGCATTTCCACGCTGGGGAGCGGTGGGGAGGGGATGGCCAGTCTCACTGGGTAACAGTACACGAGCCTGTCCTGGACTTCAGGGGCTTCTATCTCAGCTGCACAGAACAAAGAGAGAGGCAGCCTATTAGCATAAAGGACGTCTGGGACAGAACTTCCTCCCATCTCAAAATATACAGAGACAGGAATGGGGCTGAGGAGCAGACTGGTCCCCTCAAAACCCCCATGGTGATCCCCCACAGTTCTTGCAGGCAGCTAACTTGATTCAGAGTCTACTTCCCAAATTAATTCCATCACCCACTGCCCCAGCACAGAGAGGACCCACCCACAGCAATACTCCATCTCTAATACAGCAGACCTGTAGACTATAGACAATGGTTCCAGCATCATGAGCCATGTTCCGGACAAATAAAACACTTTCCTTATTACTACTATTTCAGTGTTTTACACTGGACTGGCTCTTTCCCACTCTACCAAACCCTGCCCCATGCCCTCAGCACACCACCCCCCAGCCAGTATCACTGCTGGGATGGGGACAGGGCCACAGTGCTGCAGCCCTGCAGCTCCCTAGAGCTGACTGCCTACCGGAAATATTGTTCTCTTTGAGGATGGCAAGATGCTTCTCCCGGATCCGCTTGACGTACTCCAGGGATATGTAGTAAATCTTACTGCAGATGCCTTCCACAGAGTCCTTTGCTGCAGCAGACACGTGGGGCCCACACTGTTTGCGCAAGTGCTCCAGGCGGTCCTGCAAAACCAGGGAACAGTGTCCCTGACATGATCCACCACTGGTCCCCACAGCCCACGGGCCACTGTCGCTCCCATTCCACAAAGCACAGGAAGGTAATGGAAGCCTTTGGGGCCAGGAGGACCTTCCTCTGTCCCCCCAGGCTCCCCGTGCTCAGCCACACGAGCAGAGGACACTGACCATGTAGTCTTCCTTAGAGGCCGAATGGTCCCGTCGCAGCCAGCTGAAGGTGTCCTCCACATTCCACTTCACTACCTTCCTGCTGTCTGGTGAAGCACTCCTGCATAAAGAGAAGCAAAATTTACCCCACAGCTGCAGGGCAATCTATTCAATCCCACCACAACTGCCTCTGTCAGCTGCTGACACCTCCTGAAGGCCCCTCCAAGCCTCTGGAAAGTGCTTCTAGACATGTGTATGACTAGGGACTGCCACGCTCTCTCCAAAACACAGTGCAGCTGTCTGCTGTCCTTGCTGCCACAGAAGAGGCAGACAAAGCATTTATCTACCATGGAAATGGCCTGTTCTGATCTTGCCTCTCATTTTCAAACACAGGCAATGCCAGGAACTTGTGACTGTGAGAAAAGTACCCCATTAACAAGCTTTTTATTTTCCCCAAAAGCTACCTTCCTCAATTCCGTCCTCTGGCAAAACTCATCAGGAACATCACACATGGTACATTAAAATACCACTTTAAGCTTGTTGCTCTCTAGCAGTGGGTGCCCAAGCATCCTGTGTTATTCCAGATCAATGACACAGGCATTCCATGTCTGGTATTCCAGAGATTCTCCCTTCTCTCTGCATACATTCAGCCTCCCAACATTACGATTCCACCGTAACAGGACTATCAAAAGACGTCTCTTGCACTACTGTTTTTTTTCTGTATATTCCTAACCTTGCTTTTCCTTACTCAGACAATGACCAACACTGAGTAAGGTGGGATACAGCATCCCCTCCTACAAGTCCCTGTAGCCTTTTTCTCTTCCTGAACTGTAAGAGGAACTCCCACCTGGACTCAATGAGCCGTTTTGCAGCCTCTGCATACTTGAAGAGCAGTCTCTTGGCTTCCTCCCGGAACTTGATTCTGGATAACCTGAGGGAAGCAGAAATTCACATGCATCAGTCCCACAGCTGCCATGAAGGCACAGAGACCAGGTCCATAGTCAAGCATTGGCACCATATCACTTAATCAGTAAAGGCAGAATATAAAAGCACAGAACTGCAGCAGGTAAATCTCTGGAGTAGGCCAAGACAAAAACATGCCAGCGAAGGCATCTTGCCTTGGAATAGTACCTGATGGGAATGTCATTCATGATCTCTCTGAACATGGAAGGAGACACTACTGGCTCACAGTCACTGGGTAAAAGAGGATCTGTCCCTTTATCAACCACCTTCCTCTCCAACATCCAGCGATTGAAGGACTCCCTTGGGGGGTCAATCCCTGAAGAAGCACAGAAATGGGTCCCATCAATACAGCAAAAAGATGCCCAGAAGCTCTGACAAGGATCATCACGTTGGAGTTCGGCCTAATGAGTTCACAGCCAACAATGTCACAGAGTACAACCACCACTAAAAGGTCGCAGGGACAAGACAGACATAAAACAGAAGGAAGAACCGCCCTGCTGGACTGAGAAGACAACGCAGGGGAACCCAACAAACCCAACACAACTGACCTTCTCGCTGCTGGCAGAGCTCACGGTAATGCTGCCGCAGCTTGAGAATGAGCTGGGATCGGAGCAGCTCCACCTCAGGGTGTGGAGAAAGCACTTCAGATGGTGCTCTCTGCTTAATCACTGCGTTTGTCTGAATATCCAGGTCCCAATAGACTCTATGGCAGAAAAAAATGTCATCAGGATGGACAGATCATTGGCTAATTATCAAGCATTATTTCTAAAGATGCTTCCTTGGGCTGTTTCACCAGCCAGGAAATTGAACTACCAAGACTCCTTGCAGAGATCTAAGGGGGTGTTACATCCATCAGGTTCTTGTTGAAGATGTCTGGAAAACCAGGAATCTCTAATCTACCACCAAGAAAAGGACAGAAGACAACTCAAGATAACTCACTCAGTTGGTCGTAGAAGAGCTGCCTGCTGTTTATCTTCAGGTGAAACACACCATGCCTTCAAAACAGAGGTACCTGGGATACTGGGAGAGCTGGGGACTGGCTGAGCAGCTGGGTTCCCCGGGACGTCCGCCTGGGTGGGTAAGAGATGAGTTACTGGACTACAGAGACTGGTCAAGGGGAAGCAGCCCAACACATCTAACACCCTGCACCAGTAACACCACTTGGGACACCCCAGGAACTGCCAGAGCACATTTTTCCAGATGTTTGTCTAAGTTAACACGGATGTGCCAGCTGCCCAGTTTCTCTGTCATCAGCTGCTACCTCCCACACTCCAATCTCAGGCTGCAAGACAGAGATGGACCTGACTCTGCATCCACTTCTGTACTTTTGAAGTATCAGCTGCCACCGTGCAAGTTGTACCAGGGTGGCCTGACCTTGCATGGTTCAAAAAAAATAGGCTCCAGACCCCACAGGTTTCGGTCTGAAAAACATCCTTAAGCCTGTTTGTTTTGCAGCACCAGACCCACCTTGGGCTTCTTCGCGCTGTTGCCGCTCAGTGGAACCTCCTCAGAGAATCTCCTCTTCCTGTGCTTGCTCTCCACAGAACTATCTGCCACTCCACCTTCCAGTGGCATTGGAGCTGCATTCAATCCCAGCGGGTCTGACTATGAACATCCAAACAACAAGAACCCACATTAGTTCACCAGCTGCCACTGCAGAGCCCCAGGCTAAGGCCATAAGCCCTCTTACCCTCCCAGTTCACTGCCCAGGCTCCCACGTGGATAGAAATAAGGACACCAATACTCACACCCATGGAAAGCTAAACAATTCTATTGTGACTGCATGTGTTTTTATTTTAAATGAGAAGAATGCAACACAACCCCCCCAGGGTGAGTGTTCTTTGAGCAGTGCACTATTCTGGAACAGCTCTACCTGAGCCTGCACCTGAAGGAGAAACAGTGCCCCACTCCTCCGCAAGGAGATCTGAAGGCAGAGCAGACCCCTCCCACATGTGCAATCTCAAGTCCATAAGGACACGGCACCTGCAGAATGTCCCAGCACAGCCCCTCCAGGTGAGGGCTTACTTACAATGACATCGTGCTGTCCCAGAACAGGCATTTCCCACAGAGACTGGTTAGTGAAGCGGTTGAAGTAGTAAGGGCGGTTCTCCCGCTTGCTCCAGCACTTCTCCCAGCCAGCCTGCACCAGCTCATCTGAGAATACAGGGAGAGAGTCAGGACAAAAGCAGTCCTAAGCAACAGCCCTGCCCCTCAGGTCCCCGTTACTGCCATAGCACACTCCCTAATACACATTGTTCCCAGCCTGCCTTGGCCCTGCTCCACCTCCTCTCCCACTGCCGGGCCCTGCTGGGCCCTCCCGAAGGCAGAGTCAGTACCTGGCAGGTCCTGCACCAGGCGCATCGGTTTGGGGGAGCTGGGCTGGTTCTGGTTGGAGGTGCCAGGTGAGTGACTCATGAGAGACACTTCCTCCGCAGGGCTGCCGTGATTCTCATTGGCCATTTCTCAGCAACCACACTGGAAAAAACACACAGAAAGTTTGTGTTACAGCAGGAAAGGTCCCAGGTCCACTTGGCCCACTCAGCTGCAGCACTATGTGTTTATTCTGACAACAGAACAGGGTTTGAACCAGTACACACAGAACAGGACCTAAGCCCTGGAAAATACCTGTTCTCCACAGCACAGCTAGCTATGAGGAATGCTGAGCTTTACACAGTGTCAACCAGGGTGTTCTTAAGGCCAGCATTCAAAATACTCACTTTTCAGCTAGATCTCTTCTAAGAGTGCAGCGTCTGGTCCCATACATCAGGACTGAGAGCATAAAAGATAAAATACACTCCTCTGTGAACACGTACCACCTTCGCCCACTCTAAGACTAGTAGACACGTCTGATCTGCCATCCTCAGAGACAACTTAAATCAACCCTTGCACACACAGAACTGCATGTAACTTAAAAGCCTTTTACTAAACAACTTCTGCTACATAAAATGGCTCTAGTGATTCACTAATAAAAACTCCTGTGGTTTTGAGGACCACAGGGTAGGAGTCAGGAGCTCCTGAATTAATTCCCTCAGTAAGTCCCAGGCCCAGATTAGCTGCATAGCCTCAGCCAGGCTGGTTTGGCCTTTGGTACATGTTCATTAGCATAACAACAGTTATGCAAAAGACGGTCTGCTGAAACAATAAAGCTCATCTTAATCATAATTTAATGTTGCCAGCTGGAGAGAAACGGCCAGGCTTCTCCTCTCTTAGTCACCATTCCTCTCCCTGAGGAAGTTTCTGCAGCACAGCAGACTGCTCTCTCTCTGGCAGCCCTAAATACAGTGCCAATGAACTGGGGGAAAAAAAAGACATTTTAAATAATTACAGTCTGCCACAGTTACTTAACTCTACTCAGCCCTTTGGAGACACTCTACACAACACCAGTTAGGACCACAGCAGCACTTCACGCACATAGAAGTGTGTTTTTTAACTAATGCCACAGCAGCCTCTGCTCCCTTGTACAGAAGCTCTTCAGTAAAAACTCTGGTTTCCAGGCCAAGTTATTTTGGATCTATCCACCCTTCTCCCCTTCCCATCCATAAAAAGTCTGCTGGCTATTCCAGAAGAGCAGAAAGATCAGAGCCAACAATCATCAAGATCCAGCAGGCACTAGTTGAGCTGTCTATAGGAGCAGCTGTGGCATCAGTGTGATAGGCCAGGGCTGGGGAACACTTGACCCTTCCAGCATCTTGGAAGATGGTCCCGTCCTTCCAGCCAGCAAGAAAAGGTGTGGAACACTGCAGAAACCCAGAGTTTCGGTTTCTGCTTTAACTAAGGAGATAACAACTATTGAGCCCAGAGGCAGCAGCGGCAGCTACAGCGCACTAATGCAATCACGGACATCTAATTGCCTCAGTAGGTGAGCGTTGCACAACCCCTCTGTACCCACACTTCCTCCTGAACTCCAACCCCGCCGTGCCCTCTGCAGCCACAGCACCTCAGCTGCACGCTCAGCCCAGCCACCCCCCCAGCCATGCAGGGAAGCCCCCTGGAGCCCGAGGGGACCCCTCAGACAGCACTGCAGGTGCTGCAACTCCTGAGGGATGTTTGGAAGCCCTCCTCCTTAAACTAAACACGTATTAGCACATGCAGCTGCTGACATGTCCTGCACGTTACACAGACAACACGTTATAATAAGCTACCACATACTGATGGGACCAGACATCCCACAGTGAGCCATGGAGGTACTTGAAGGAGTTATAGGTAGCCCTGGGTACCAAGATCTTCCTAAACTGGGCAGCACACACCTGCCGAGGCAGCCTGTCAGTGACACACAGGGTTTGCTGGTTTTGCCTTCTCCTATTTATGGATAAAATTGAATGGGGGAAGTAGACAAGAAGCTTTATTGCTCAATCAATGTTGATGAGTATTAAATCTAAGTACCCTTAAGGTCTGGGAAAAGAAAAAAGCAAGCTAAGAGGAACCCTGACAGAATCAGCTCTACTTTGATGTAACTAGTGTTGGGACTCAGACAGTGAAAGGCATCCAGAGTAAGCATTTTATGGTGGTCACGGTATTGTTTTTATACACCACGGCAAGGCATACAGTACTTGACAGACACAGTAGAACGCTGTCCCTGCCCAGAGAGCTTACAACCTAGGAGCAGCAGCACAACCAGACACCACAGCACGGTGGGAAGGGACACGGAGGCAAGAAGTACAGCAACAGGACCGTTGTTTGTTTCCATTTCACCGAGGCGGGATTTTACACAAGACAATAGCAAGAGCAGACAAAGGAGAGCAGCGACAGCCCCCTGGGATACAGCAAGGTCCTCCCTCATCCCAGAGCCATCCTCATCCCAGGCCACCGCCTCCTTCCAGCAGCGCTTCCCCCGTGCCCCGGCACCGGCCCCTGCACCCGGCGGGGCCGGGGCCGAAGGGAGCACGGAGCGGCCGGGGCTGCGCACACAGGTGCGGCGAGTGAACCCGGGGAGCGAGGGAAAG